ATAATTTCTCAATCCATTCGATTGTGGTTGGACATCTGAGCTGTTAATATGTTCTAACAATGGTGAATAATGCTGCTGTTAACACTGATGTACAAATCTCTGTTTCTGCCTCAGTCCTCATTTTCTTGGGGTATATTCCAAGCAGTGGAATAGCTGGGTCATATGGAATTTCTATGTTGAGCTTTTTGAGGAAGCACCAAACTGCCTTCCAGAGTGTTTGTACCATTGTACAATCCCACCAACAATCTAAAAGAGTTCCTATCTTTCCTCATCCTCTCCAACATTTATTGCTTGTTGTCCTGTTAAACTTTGGCACCGCTACTGTAATGAGATGGTATCTCAATGTGGTTTTGATTTGCATCTCTCTTATTGCCAGTGATTCTGAGCATTTCAATATTGTGAAAATGACAATCCTACCAGAAGCAATCTACATGTTCAGTGCAATGCCAATACAGACACCAAATTAATTTTTAAAGGAGGTCAAAAGGGAAACTGTCAAGTTTATTTGGCGAGGAAAGAGACCCTGAGTAAGCAAACATCAGAGAAACAAAAATGAAGTGGGAAGTATAGCATTCCCTGACCTCAAAACCTGCTACACAGCAGTGGTAACCAAAACAGCATGGTATTGATACAATGACAAGCACATATACCAGTGGAACAGAATTGAGAACCCAGAAATAGACCCAGCTATTTATGGTCAACTGATACTCAACAAGGAAATAAAACCGATCAAATGGGGAAATAGCAACCTTTTTAACAAATGGTTCTGGCAAAACTGGGCTGCCACCTTTAGAAAGCTGAAACAGGATCTACATATCACACCATACATAAAAATCAACTCAGTATGTGTCAGAGACTTGGCAGTAAAGCCCCAAACCATAAGGTTCATAAGAGACAAACTGGGATCAAGCTTAAAAAGGCCTAGTCTGTGGTATAAAGAGACTGCCAAATACAGCCTGAAAATGTACAATCTGAACGGGATAAAATTGATGCGTGGGACCTTCTGAAGATTAAAACTCTGTGCACATGAAAAACATTTCCCAACAGAATGAAAAGAAAACCTGCTGACTGGGAACAAATATTTAGTAATACCAGCTCAGACAAGAGTCTCATAACAAAAGCGTACAGAATACTCCTGGGCCTCCATAAGGAAAAGACTGATAACCCAATTACAAAATGGGCAAAAGACCTGGAAAGAATTTTCACGAAGGAAGATATTTGAATGCCCAACAGACACATGAATAAATGCACCAGATCACTGTCAATCTTTGTCTTTTTGGTATTGAGCTTCAATCTATATTGAAGACTACAGT